GAAAGTGAAGAGGACTTAAAATACTTACTAATGAATAGACCACAACCTTCGTATAGATTGCATCTCAATGTAAAGAAAACAAAAATCCTCACCACTGGACCAACAGACAACATTCTTATCAACGGAGAAAAAAATTGAAGTTGTCACAGACTTCATTCTTCTTGGATTAAACATCAACACTCATGGAAACAGCAGTCAAGAAATCAAACAACGTATTGCATTAGGCAAATCTGCTGCACAAGACCTTTTTAAAGTGTTGAAGAGCAAAGATGTCAGCTTGTGAGGACTAAAGTGCTCCTCACCCAAGCTATGATATTTTCAGTAACATACAAAATGTTACTCATATGCATGCAAAAGTTGGAGAGTGAATAAGGAAGACCATAGAAAAATTGATACATTTGAGTATTGAAAGTGCCATGGGCTGCCAAAAGAACCAACAGATAGATCTGTGTTGGAAGAAGTGCAGCCAGAGTGCTCCTTGGAGGCCAGGAGGGCCCAACCTTGTCTGTAATACTTCGGACAGATTGTCAGGAGGGACCAGTGTCTTGAGAAGGATATCACGTTTGGTAAGGTGGAGGGTCAGAGAAATAGAGGAAGATTCCCAGCGTGATAGATTGGTAATATGGCTGCATCAATGGGTTCAAGCGTGGCAACAAGTGTGAGGTTGGCCCAGGACTGGGTAGTGTTTTGTTCTGTTGTAGATATGATCACTATGAGTCAGTACAGACTCTATGTCACCTAAAAAACATGTCCCTGGCATGTGGTCTCAGGACTTTTATACTTACTGAAACTTAATCCTCACAAATAAGAGAAAGCCATTGTGGAGAACAGAAAAGATAGCGGATCAGGTATAAATACAACGAGGAGCTCTGTCAGCAACAACACAGAATACTGGACCAAACAGGCCCAGGGGATGGTGTTAGAACTTTGAACCACATATAAGGGAATATTTAGAAGGTTGGAAGGCTTACAGCTAGCAGAAGCAAGAAATCCATTGCTTTCTAATCCAAGATGCTCAGCTGCTCCTGGAGCCGCCATCTTGGGTGAGAACAAGCAGGGGAAGAATCAGAGCAGCCATGGACACCTGAGAGAACCACGGAGGAGATAAAGGTGTGGACATTCTTTTTTTTTTTTGTTTTCGTTTCTGTTCATTGGTCTCTCTCGTATCTATTCAGAGGTTTCCCACTCATCTCCATTCAGGTGACTAGAGGGGGTGCCTGAGCGAGTGGACACCCCATCCCACCTCCGCAGGGTTCTACTGCACATGCGCACAGATCGCCTCAAAATTTAAAGTGACAGTTTCCACTTAAAACTAAACG